CCCTCCATGACCTCTGCAGCACCCTCCATGACCTCTGCAGCACCCCTCCATGACCTCTGCATTGGCTCCTGCCTCCAGGTTCCTGTCCTGTTTGAGTTCCTGTCCTGACTTCCTGAACAGCACTGTGGAAGTGTAAGCCTAACTTTAACCCTTTCCTACCCAACTTGCTTTTGGTCATGGTGGTGTTTCATCACAGAAATAGAAGCCCTAAGACAGGTTGGTATAGGCATAGTGGGGCATTGCCATGACAGACCTGATCATGTTGGTTTGGAGTGGATTGTGGGAGGACTTTGAAACTTTGGGCTAGAAAAGCTATTGAGTGTTGAGAGCTAAATGAGCTGGTTCTGTAGGAGCTGGGAAGATAAGAATACTGAGAACAGTGCAGACAATGGAGGCCTGGCCTGTGAAATTTCAGAGAGAAATTTAAAGACTCTATTGAGGTCATTTGTTATTTTGAATTAAGATTCTGTGGTTCTGGTTAGCTGGGGTTAAAGAATCAGCTTTAATTAAAAGATACCAGAACTACTACATTGAAACCTTTGCTTTGCTGGGATCCTTGATGCTGGTTGGCTGCAGCTGAAAATTTAGTAGTGATTAAGAAGAGACCAGCTCAGAGGTGGTGGCGCACACCTTTAATCCCAGCACTTGGGAGACAGAGGCAGGCAGATCTCTGTGAGTTCGAGGCCAGCCTGGTCTACAGAGCAAGTTCCAGGGTTACACAGAGAAACTGTGTCTTGAAAAAACAAACAAGTAAGCAAAAAGAGAGGGGGAGAGAGAGAGAGAGAGAGAGAGAGAGAGAGAGAGAGAGAGAGAGAACAGCATCGTTGAGGTGAAATCTTCTGGGAAGACTTGCCTCAGGGTCAACCCACAGAAACTGTGTTCCAGAGGTGGTTGAGGCTGTACCTCAAGCTGGCAGCTCAACTTGGTAGTGTAAGAGTCTCTCAGGTAGTACTGTTTTTGAAGGCATGAAGGGGTCATGAAGAGCAGCTGGGGCTTGGCACTGGGAGAGGCCAGGAGAGCACTGGTGAAGGTGCAGCTTCCATGGCAGTTGAAGTTCCAGAATTGAAGGGGTCATGCAGAGAAGCTGAAGCTTGGCCCCATGAAGAGAGCCCACCAGTGAAAATGCAGCTCAGTTGCAGCAAGAGACACCAGCATTTTGGAGATGCCAGTGCCATGGGATGACCCCTGAGGACAGCAGCAGTGGTGGAGTGGAGCCTGACTGAACCTAGAAGACAAGCTGTGTGTGCTGCAGAGGGTGGAGCTGAATAAGAGGCCCAAGCCCTTTGGAGGAGTTCAGAAGATCATGAGTGAGTCCCAGATAACTGGACATTGCATTATGTAACTGTTAGAGTTTGTTTTGCTTTGTTCAGATTGTGACTCTCTCCTGGTTCTTCTCTCTTGAAGAAAGTAACTTAATTTTAATTTTTATAAGAGCCCACAACTGAAAGACTTTGGACTTTTAGAAGAAAATTTGAGCCAGGCAATAGTGGTGAATTTCTTTAAACCCAGCACTCAGGAGGCAGAGGCAGGCAGATCTCTGGTCTACAGAGCAAGTTCCAGGACAGCCAGGTCTACACAGAGAAACTCTGTCTTGAAACAAACAAGAGAGAAAGAAAGAAAGAAAGAAAGAAAGAAAGAAAGAAAGAAAGAAAGAAAGAAAGAAAGAAAG